TCACCCCAAGGTCCCTTCTAAGGATTATTCTGACATCCTTCCCAGGATTTCAACTCAAGAGTTTGGCATCCTCAGTTTTCTTGCCTGAGCTGTGGGTTGGATTAGAAGACCTCCGAGTTCCCTTTCAACTCTTGTTAAACACATGCTCTGGACTACTGACATTGAATGTATGTAAACCCTGAAAAATATGTGGTAGCCCAGGGCAAAAGAAAGGCAGAAAAATCACCCTAGGTGTAGGGGCAGTATAAAATATTAACACATGATAAATAATGGAACAATTAAAAATAATAGCACAGAGTTTTCTCTCTCTCTCTTCCTATTTTTTTTCTTTCTGTACCTTCCTCTTTCTTTCTTTCTTTCTTTCTTTCTTTCTTTCTTTCTTTCTTTCTTTCTTTTCTTTCCTTTCCTTTCTTTCTTTCGTTCTTTCTTTCTCATACACACACACACACACACACACACACACACACACACACAGAGCACTTAACAGACAAGCATTTTGGAAGCAGCTCCTTTAAATTTCTCCAAGGCTTGAGTGGATTCTTTTACATTGCAAAAGTGCTCCAAGGTTCGATTCACCCCCACCCCCTCCGTCAGACAGCACTCTTTCTCACTCCAGGCACTTTACTCACATGGGGAAAGGGATACTTGCAGCGTCCATGCCTTTCTTCCTTTTCCCTGGGGAGAAAGAGGACGTCGGGAACGGAAAGCTAGGAGAGCGATTGCAAGTGAGCGACAGGGCAACTGGGTTGGGGGCGTGCCAGCCAGGGATTGCCATTGGTTCAGTGACCCAAGCCAAATAACCGCTACCGGCTCGCCCGAATAGGTGTAAACCAGTCAAATAGCACCTCTGGTTCTGTCTCTCCCAATGTAACCCAGTTACATACTCTCTGAAATGCCCATATTTTTTCTTCCTCTTTGCTGTGTACAATCTTACAGCTATCATATCACTCTGATTGTCATTTTTTTGTTGTTATTGTTTTTGGTTTTGCATTTAGATCTCTTAAAGATTTCATGAAGACCTTGCTTCAGTTATATCTATTTTTATATTAACTTGGAGCTTATCTAGGACAATGTTGAAACCATCTGAACTCTTGGTCACATAGTATATTCTTTTTAAAGAATATAATGTATTCTTTTTATTGTCTTAGAATAGGGCTGTCAAACTCGCGACCCGCATGGCGGATATGTCACATGCCCACTCCCAATTTAGCGAAGGGGGAAAAGGTCCTGATATGTCACATGATGTCACCATGACAATGTGAGCTTGACACCCCTGTCTTACAAATTATATTTCTGATTTCTGTGATATTTGCCAGTGCATTCCCCAATCAACATACTTACCCATGCTATGAATAAAGACAAACTAATTCTACACCTTGTCATCCCTTTTCTGCCAAAGAGCAAAACTGCCTTCCATTCAGTCAGCAATATAATTCTGCATACATTATTCCAAACTTTAGAATGGTGTCTGAAAGACCCTTGATCTCCTTAAAAATAATTGGTGGGTTTCTGGGGAGTAGTTCCCATTCATGTGCTTCCTAGGGTCAAGCAAGAGTCTGGGACTACCTCTTCAAATATGTTTTAAATGGACCAAACTATCATGAGACTGCTAGGATCTAACAGAGCAGTTCCTGCTGTTTCTGCAGGGCCATTCTATGAAAAAGGTGGCAACTTATCTAGACTATCTTTTCCTCCAAATCATCTCACAGGGCTATATTGAGCCATTCAAATTTTATCTAATATAGATAAGGGCTCTAGTTGCAGGCCCAGGGGGACCTTGTCTTTCATTTTATGAGCATCATCCTTTTCCAAATAATAAACCATTTGCCTACTTATCTGCAATTAGAGGTCTTCAGGTGATCATTCCCGTTCATAGGTATTTGGATATGTTAACAACTGCAAATATTTTATATGGTTTTCATTAAAAAAGACATTTGATTCTCTGTTCAGAAGAATGGCTAACTATACTGTGGGAGTACACTCAATGACCAGAATAATTTTGCATTTAGAAAATAAATCCAACAGGGCACCGGCCATAATTTGCCAAGTCTGCATGTTTTTCTGCCCATCCTTCCAGTAAATATTTCTGTATAGTATGTGTAGACTGAAATTGACTGTAGCTTATGTTGTTCACATTCTGCTTTGAACAAAAAGCTCAATTTGCTCAAACCTGTCTGAGAAGAAAAAAAGATTCAACAATTTGTTCCATTCAGTTGCTCTCTAAAGGCAATGATCAAGTCAACCCATGAATACTGGAAACTATACTAAGTCTTTATTGATTTCATTTTGTATGCTTTACTGTAGAGACATGATTATAATTAGATGTGCACAAACTAAAGAGGACAAGTAAGAAATGAAAACCCTCAATAAGGACTTCTGCAATTGCAGCAGAAAAGTAACCAAAAAAGCCAAATTCCCCACAGGTGATCAAAAGCCAAATTTGATATATGTTACCAGAAAAAATAGGAATATTGATGTTGAATAGCAGAACACCAAGAAAAGAAAACACTACTAAATTATGCAATGGGTAAGTAAATAATGATTAAAGAATGTATCAGTACAACTCTGTAAGTAGTATAACTTAAAGCAATATAATATTTCTTTGTGCTTTAAGAGTATTCAAACTCATGAAATTATTAGGAATGAGAGCTCCATGGCAAATACCAAGTTAGTATTTGAGAAAGGAAATATTTCACAAATTGATTGTTATTAAGAATTAACTCAGGCTGTTCATATTGAAAAAGAAAATTCACCATTAGTTCTATTTAACATGATTTTTATTTTCCACATCTATTCACTATAATTTTTTAAGTAGCAAAGGCTACTATTTTTGAAAGGTTAAATTAAAATCAACAGTGGTTCAACAAAGCAAGTTTTCATTGTGGGGCAGCTGAGAAACAAAGTTATGAAAAAACAACAACAAAAACAAGGTAAGGTACTCAAGTGTAAGTACCCTCTCTAAAGACTTAGTATTGTTTAGGGAAGGGAAGGGAGGGGAAGGGAAGGGAAAGAGAAGGCAGAGAACGGTTACATTTTTAAGCATTCCATTGTACGCACTTATGAAGAACATAGTTATGTTCTGTTGCATCCTATAATTCACTATCTCAGATAAAAAGATACCTATGGTTAATATTCTCAGCGTGGCTTTTAGGTGCCCCATCTTGAAAACATGCAATTATGGATACATTCCTTAGCTCCAATGCACCATTGAACCATTAATATTTTAAGGTTCATTTTAAAAGATTGCACATTTCAGAGAACATGGAGCTTTTCTTTCCTTTTTTTTCCTTTTGCTTATCAATATTAAGCCAAGAAAATAGAAATAAGTGTAGATTCTCACTGTTATAGGGATAACAAGAATAATACTCTTCCAAATTACCGTAACACTTCAATTTCATCTTATAAAAAGATCAGTGGATTTAATGTACATAGAAATATATTCTATTATTATAGAATGCATTTCAGAGGAAACAGGCAAAAATAAACAAGTATTTTCGTGTGTATTCTAGAATTTATGAAGATTTGGTTACACAGAAACCATATAAATAACCCTTCATCTTGAATTAGTTTCACTAAGATATGTTGATGTTGTGGCTCCTTAGATATTACTGTTATAAATATTGTCACAGCTACTAGCCTGAAGGCAACATATGGTCTACAAGGCAATTAAGTAAAGATGACTGTTCTTTACATGAACAAGTCATTCAATAAAGAGCCAGACCAGAATCAGAAAAGTATCTCTTGATGCTTAGGCAAATAGTTAGGGTATTGCCTTCCAGTGCTCCGTGAGATTAGTCTAGTAACTTCTCTGTCAATATTTACACTGTGATATGCCTCTTTGCTTTTGTTTAGGATCTCCAGACAACTTCAACACTATGAAGAATCCACATTAGAGATGTACAGATTTCAAGGGAGGCTTTGCCTGGTTATATAAATTCTTTGCCTGGTTATATCTTTTATTTTTCTTATATGCATCCATATATTCATAACTATGTTTTTAGTACTTATGCCTATTATCTTGTAAGCAATGGAAAAACCAAATAAAATAAATAAAAAATAAAATAAAGATTAAGCTAAGCAAAACAGTGTGACCACCTCCTTGCACTGCCTTGTTGTTTGACACCTAAAACAACAGTAATTGCAGCTTGAATCATGTCAATTGTTTTTCATACTTCCCTCCTTCATTCAGTGGAAATAAAACTCATGGCTCTACATAAAATTAAAGTTACCATGGAAGTTATTTTTAAATGGAAGCCATGCACGACCATCTGACACTCAGCTAAAACATAACCTGTGTTGACATTCCTCCATGTTGTTAAACAGAAGAAATGCAAAATTAATCCTCAAAAATAATTGTGTTTACTCCATTTTGCCAACTTTTAAACCCACCAAAAAAGATCTCAGACCAAAATCACAGAACAAGGATATCATTAGCTTTTCTATAATTCCATATAATTTTATATATCTGAGAAATTTCTTCTTGGCAAAATAGTTTAAGCATAAGGCAAAGTTCCAATGAATGCAGTTTACAATTATAACTTGTAGAGGCTTCAATTAAAAGAAGCAATCAAGAATACAGTTCCAGCATAAAATTAATTGTAAGCATGCAAAATTAGTTTTATTACACTTTGCATAAAGAGCACCCAAAAATGAAGGCAAGTATCGGTCCCAGAAGAAAGATTGGCACATTGCACTGCAGCTGTTTAGTTATGTGACAGATACTGTACTTTGAAATCATGAAATGAAGTTGCTATCAATAACAGACATAATTTAATAAAAGCAGACTGGTAAAATGTCCTAGCCAAAAAGTCAGAAACAATTTCTAGATAAAGTGAAGCAATACAAAGTATATAAATTGCTTCTCTTTCTGGCATAATAATTGTAAATCTTTTTGACAAGCAACTGTAGAGTGATTAACATTTAGGCATAAAGGTTATGTAACATTTCAGCACAAAAGTGGTTTCCATCAAGGGTATATCAAGTTATAAGATTGCCCTTACCAGTTTTTTTGATGAAGCTGTTCCTTATAGAATAGGACATGCATGAGGACTGCATCTATTTCAGAGGTGCTATTATGTACACAAACCCAAACAAGAAGGCTGTGCCAAAGAAATGGCTTAATTCTGAATTGCTTTTGTTTGGAATTTAACTCAGCTGCTGAGCTGGCAGTCGTGAAAGCCTACCAAAAAGAACAAAAAGTTAAATCCATTAATAAGACATTGCAAATACAAAATTAATTGGCAATTCTCCTTACAGATTTGCATCTCTTTTTAACTAAAATTTGATTTTAATAGTATTATATTCTCATGCTGAATTCCTCTAATTTCATTTTCATCATGCATTTGTGTTGTTTGCATATTGTTGCTGTTGTTATTGTTTCCTTAAAAAAAAAAACAGCAGTCCATTTGCTGTGATTCACTAGGTTCTTTGATGTTAGTTTTTCATTGGATTGCATTAATTTTGAAGTAGAACTGTGTGTGAACTCCCCATTCTTGTTTCATGATTGGAATCTCTACTATGGAAGTTTTCCAATCCATCTTGAGATAGATTTGTGTGTTTTACGAGAATAGGACAGTTAGCAGATAAATTAGATTGTTATGGGGGAATGAAAATTTCCAACTTTTGTAGTAATTGGTGTGTTTGATGGCACTGCCTAATATGTTAATTCAAACATACATCAATAGAGCCAAAGAACAACTGAGAAGAGGGATAAAGGCTATCACTTTTAAAAAAACAGAAACAACACACTTCTGTATAGCTTTATGTAGTAAAAAATGCTAATGAATGATTAGTGAGATGATGAATGATACCAATTTTCTTTAAGTAGAATATTAGAACCTAGAATATTTGCTGATGTAGAAAAAAAGGGAAGGCAAAGAAGGAGGAAGGAAAGCAAAATTACATTTAAGACAATTGATGAAGCAAACATTGGTCAAATGAGAATGGAAAATAAGATGAGGAAAAAAATAAGTTATTTGCAAGACAAAGTAGCTTCAAATATAAAACTATCCAAATACTTTTTATGTGATATAAAGAATGATGGATTGTTTGTACAATGAATAAATGCATTTCTTTTACTCTCAACACACAATCTCACCACCACTCCAAAGGGCTGCAATTAGAGCAAATAATGGTAAGGGTGACTCAGTTTTGAAAATTGGACTTAATCAGTCTACAGCCCTAGTTTTTTATAGTTACTTTATCCCCATATATACTGCCCTGTAATCTTATCTGATAGATGGCGTAAGAATACATTCCATATATAAACAAATAAGTCATTTGCATAGGTTGATGCGTGATTTTTTTTTAACATACAATATTGCAAAAGATGGGAGGGAACAGCTTTTGTATGATATATGATGAATGATGCTTCCCCTTTTTGTACCATAAGCAATTACGGGGATCATATTATGAATCATTCAAAAAAATAAAATAAACAACTACTACTCCATAAATTTTAATTAAGATTTATTTTAATTAAATGCATTTTTGCATGAAAATAATTTTATATAAATTATCTTAAATTTAGAGAAGGCATCTTTTGAAATTGAAACCATCTGGATCAAGATTACCTAGTTTTACATACAAAAGCTTGTCTCACAATATCACTACCAGGATTTCATTTAATGATTGTGATTCAATCTGTCAGTTATTCAAATAATGAAGGATAAATCTTCAATAGCAACTCTTTTAATCAAGGAAAATATTAAATATTTGTACTGATTTCTTTATAATCTAAGATTTTTAATTAATTTTAATTAAAGATGTAAGAATTAACTGAAACATTGAGCTATACACTTATTTTTCCCTTCATATGGCCACTCTACAACGTTGCGCAATTCCATGATTCTTATAATTGGGGGGGGGGGGAGAGGATTGATTTATATTTGTTTTATAATATTTAGGCTGTGATTAGAGAGATTCATCTATATTATTGTCACAGTTCAACATGTGGAAAAAGATGCCCAATATTCTTAATCCAGTTCAGTAATTTTGAAAGCATTATCAGCTTAACTGAGCATGTAAAAAGAAGAGTATCTTTTTCATAAATGTGGTGGGACTGTGGGGAGCAAGGTACTTCTAAATTACTAGAGGAAGAAATTCATGAACAAAACTACAATTTTAGGCTTATAAAAGGCTTCTCCATAGTCCAATTAAAGAACCAATTCTAGTACTTAAAGTACTTAAATTGAAAAGTTTGGTACACATATTCAATGTGAGAAAGCTTGACTAAGTACTAATGTTTATCATACAAACAAAAAAAATCTCTTCATAATCACTTCTGCCTGAAGTTTCTTCAGGTAACCCATCCTCATAGCAATCATGTGAGCTGAATAAATAGATGGGAGAAATCCGCCATCATGTTTCAGTTCCATATACAGCCTGCTTTTATAACTCTACTTTTGTTTTCCTTATTTAAACAGTTCTCATTCTTTTGGCATAATTTTGAATCTCTCTATAAAAAATAACAGAGCAGAAAAGATTTCAGGGACATTATTAAGAGAGTGCTAAAAATATCAGGGTGGTGATTCAATTGCTATTAATCAGCAATAGTAGAAACTCAGTTTCTATAATATATTAAATTGTTCTGGACAATAAATTACTCCTCAAATTTTTCAAAATTGCAGAACACATATCTGTAACATCCTTCAGGAAGCCAGGAAGAATAAAACAGGAACCCTGGGTCATTTAAAACAAAATAGCTTCCAGACCTTCTAGCCCTTGGGCTTTCCATTCCAGATCATGCTGAAATATACAGAAGAGGTGCTGCAGCTTCTGCACTGCATTAACTTAAGCTTGTGAGATTGGGATACAAATAAGGGCCTCTCTGGAAGCAGAGATAGCACCACTTTGAATCAGCCCAATGGAATCTTCAGCTGTGGGGTTTTAATCAATTAAATGCAAGAGTTAACTATATCAACTAATGTTCTAGGACAAATGCAGATTTGCTTTGTTTCTTCAGTCCTATGGGGTGGTGGAACCTGCATTGGCAGGAACTCATGTTTTCTCCCATTTCCTATATCATAGGATCTCCCATCTCCTCCTAAAGCAAAGGCACAATACTATACTATATTTATAATTACTATAAATTCATGGGAAACCTATCAGAGGCGGTATTCAACAGGTTCTGACCAATTCTGGAGAACCAGTAACGGAAATTTTGAGTAGTACAGAGAACTGGCAAATACTACTTCTGACTGGTCCCGCCCCCATCTATTCTCTGCCTACCAAGTCCCAGCGAGGGTCTTCTTTTGTTGCCCTGCACAGCTGGAACGGAGCTAGAAAGCAGGAGGGTATGGGGATCTTGCAGTAACCTTCCCCCAAGGAGTGGGGAGGGAATGTGGATTTTACAGTATCCTTCCCCTGCCATGTCCACCAAGCCACACCCACCAAGCCACACCCACAGAACCAGTAGTAAAAATGTTTGAATCCCACCACTGAAACCTACCATCTCACAAAAACTTTCATTTCTTCTGGAACAGAACAGCAGCTAGGCCAAATAAGAATTTATTCTTTGTTTTCTGAATATCCCTAAGACAAGTGCTTAGGCTGCTCCTAAATAATAAAACAGCTAGACATAAATACTGTATTTAGAGAACAGTACATTTTTATTTGATGTTCTAGAGATCTGTGACTCTGCATGTTTGAAGTATGCACAGTCCTATTTTTTTCAGTCACAATATATCAGTCATTACCAAAAATTATAGCTATCATTTCTACAAGATTTTGTATCATTTTTTTAAAAAAACTAAGAAATTAAAGGATTATATTTTGAAGTCCAATAGGACCTTATAAAGATTGGAACAGACAATATGGGTTTGGATGAGTAACAGTCTAGCTTAGTACTGAAGCAGTTCCCTGTGTTCCTAATGCATGCAGCATTACTACAAGGTCTTTTAAATTTGTTTTATCTGGGCAAAAAGCAATATTCATCATGGAAGCACAGCTGACGAGAAAAACTCCAGCAGCCAATATCATGGTTCACTAAAAAAAAAAAAAAAGCACCCCGGCCACTACAGGGTGTTGTGGGAGAAGAATATCTGCAACCATGCAGAATAGCAGACATTGAATCTATCAGGACTGTACAAGTGAAGGGCTGCTGGTTGGCTAAGCAGAACCTGCTGGAATCAGAAACATATGTCACAGCAATAGCAAATGATTTTTAACAGCAAACAATCTCACAAGGCACTGTAAATCAAGAGTTGTCATTTCCTAAAGCCAAACTGGTTCTCTTAATTTGAAACCTGAAGCTTAGACTCTATTTCTGTCTTATTCTTCATCTATGGTCCTAAAAACCCTTTAGTTTATCCACTGCTTTCATATCAGAATACATGTCAAGGCAGCCTCCCAATTCAAAGGAAAAGTTATTAGTTGAGGGACTGTCTAATAGTTTCTGCCTGCCAAGTAAGATTGAGCAGTGTACTCAAGGCCCCTCCAATTAAACAATATCATCTATTAGGACCTAGATGATACACCTTCTCCAATATGCTAACTAAAATACATCTCTCCAGAGATCTATATGGATCATACCTGCTATTCTGAAATTCTTTGAAACCTCTCTTTGCTCTAAGTCACTGTTGTTCAGACTTGGCAACTTCAAATTGAAGACCTCACATACTCTAATGACATTCCTTCTTGGACTGGACCTGCCTTTTCTGCCAGATTGGATGGTACAAGTAAACTTGACTGGTGAGAGGCAGTCTCTCAAATACCCTAATCACATGTTGTATAGTACTTTATAGGTCACGAGATGACCCATGACTCATTAAGCCATCAGATCAGAGATATTTCTTGTTACCTAAATAGATAAACAGAATGACCATGGGCAGAGAAAAAAAGCAGTGGGAGCAGAAGTGATTTCTGACTTTCTGCCAGCTTCCCCATTGACTTTGCTCGTGGGAAGCTGGCAAGGAGCATCAGAAATCACAATAATAGGACTGCAGCTGGCTGTTTACAAATACAACTTCTATGAAGTTCCTTCAATTTTAATTTCATGAAGCAATAGATCCCCAATTTTGGGCACATTTTTAAGCCCATTTGAAATAACTTGTTTCAAAAATTGTTGCCTTATGATGCACCAGTGTGGCTTACTGAAGGTTACAAACAGACAATAGAGGTTAAGTAGTATATAGATTACTAGCACTTTGAATTGAACCTGGAAGCAAACTGGTAGCCATC